GAGGAGAAGGAAGGAGGAAGGAAGGGAAGGAAGGAAGGAAGGAAGGAATCTGAGCTGGGACTACAGGCATGCGCCACCATGCCCCGCTAATTTTTTTTATATATTTTCAGTTGTCCAGTTACCTTTCTATTACTAGTAGAGACGGGTCTCGCGTTTGCTCAAGCTGGTCTCGAACTCCTGACCTCGCTCTGGGATTACAGGAGTGAGCCACTGCGCCCGGCCCTCTAGACATGTTTTGTTGACACTGTGATTAAAGTCCCATAAATAGAAGGTGCTATGTGTAAGACAGACAAGGAAAGAAAGGCTCGGAAAAGTTAAGCAGCTGTGCCTCAAGTCGCAGCCACTCAGTTGGTAAAGCCAAGCTGGGGTTTGAACATACCGTAAAAGTACACCATGGGCAAGGCCACTGGGCTCCAGAGTTCATGCCCGTCCGCTGCAGCTTGTAGGGCCACAAAAGCCTAGCTCGCTCCTGTCTCCCCCACCTCAGTCCACTCTTGCGCTGCAGCGGAGCCCCTGGCTCAAGGCAAATCAGATGCCGTCACCCACTGCTCAACACTTGCAGTGGTTCTTCCCTGACATTGGATGAAGGTGGAGCGTGCGCCTCCACTTTGCTGGCCTTCATATCCTCGCCCTGCTCTAGCCCTATCACGCCCCACTCTTCGCTCCTGCAACATGGAACCTCAGGCAGTTCCCTAACCAACCAGCCTCTCAGACCTGGATTTGCAAACAAATCAGCAGGGGTTTTTATAAAACAGATTCTACACTTGATCTTAGCCAAAAGGCCGAGAAGCGATTTTATAAAACAGATTCTGATTCACCAGGCCTGCGGTGGGGCTCTGGGTTCTGAAGTTCTAACAAGCTCCCAGGGGGTGCCAATTCTGCAGGTCCACTGACCACAGGTGAGTAAGGAGGCGCTGAACACACCGTGGTCCCCTCTCCTTTGACCTCTGCCAAACTTCCTTTCATGTGAAACTTTTCCCCTGTCTCTCCCGCCAAGGCGGCTCCGTTTCCAGGCCTCAGCTTAGGTGCTTCTGCCTCCAGGAAGCTTTCCGAACCTCTTCAAGACTGATTAGGAAATGTCTTATCTGTTAGAGATGTAAACAGAAATTGGTGAAATGACATGACGTCTGGATTTGTTTTAAAATACTCAACAAAAAAAGTGGGAACAGGAGGTAGATGAAACAAGAATGGCAAAATATTGAACATTGTTGAAGCTGGATGATGGATACATGAGAGCTCATTGTACATCCTCTCGATATTCATATGTTTGGAAGTTTCCAAAATAAAAAGGTTAAAAAATGAAGCCTGGGTTAGGTGTCACCCCGATGTTCCCCCTTAGGCCACTGCCCTGCCTGCCCCACTCCACCCCCACCCTAGCACTTACTGCACTGCACTGTGAGTTGTATGATTTTTCAAAGGCTGAGTTTATACCATGTTTTGTTCACTTTTGTATACCAGCCCCTAGCGCAGTGTTTGGCATAGAATGAATTCTCAACATATTTTTGTAGAATGATTGAATGAAAATCCTGCCAGGTTGTGTTAGTTGGCAGAAAAGAAACAAATCATTGGGCCTAGCGCGGTGGCTCATGGCCTGCAATCCTAGCACTCTATAGGAGACCGAGGTGGGCAGATCGCTCAAGGTCAGGAGTTCGAAACCAGCCTGAGCAAGAGGAAGACTCCGTCTCTACTATAAATAGAAAGAAATTAATTGGCCAACTGATATATATAGAAAGTTAGCCAGGCATGGTGGCACATGCCTATAGTCCCAGCTACTCAGGAGGCTGAGGCAGGAGGATCGCTTGAGCCCAGGAGTTTGAGGTTGCTGTGAGCTAGGCTGATGCCATGGCACTCACTCTAGCCTGGGCAACAAAGCGAGACTCTGTCTCAAAAAAAAAAAAAAGAAAATATAAGTTGAAACAAAACAATGAATATTGTTCTGCTTTATATAGAGCCGTGCTGTGTCTGCTCCTGGAATCCTCTGTGAAGGTCACTGTGTCCCAAGAAAGATTTGATGGCACTTGAGAGAATCCATTTAAATGGTTAAGAAGAAAGCAAATTTAGACACTGGACCTCTTCTGTGTGTAAGACAGAAGGACGAATGGGTTTGTGATATTCGAGGCTGTTGGAACATAATTAATAGAGATCCATTCATTCAATCACCAAATAGTAGTTCAGTGTCTAAGTTTCAGATTTGTCTGCCATGATGCAAATACCACTTTTCCAAAGTAGCTACTTATATGAGCTTGTATGGATGGAACTTCATGTTTGCTGGCCAAATGAAAGAGGCAGAAGTGCGGTGTTTGGAGTAGGGTGGGATGTTGTTTTGCTTTGTGCAGGGAGACCCAAAAAGAAAGAGGAGAGAATGGGGCAGTGGAAGAGATGGTGAGGTGTCTGGGCCCCACCCCAACTGGACTAAAGGGGCAAGTCAGTGCTGGGGGTCAGAGCTGTTCTGTGGGACCCCAAGTGTCAGCACAGGGGCAGTGGGAGGCTGCCCCAGGAACTCTAGGGCTCGAGGGCCCTAGCACGGGGCCTAACTCAAAGTAAGTGCTGAGTCAATGTTTGAAAAACCAACAACTGAAATGAGTGCATTTGGAATAGTGTTGATTTTTGCTTTGCCTCTAAGCTAGAATAATAATTGAGCTCACTTATAGTCCATGTTATTATTACTATCTTGGTTACTGTGTTTATATAGCGTTAATAACTCCCCTGATCTCCCAAACTTCAGGAGAATTGAAGTTCAGTAATGAGGGAAATGCTCACTTGATTGTTTTCTGCTTTCTGTGGGAAGTCAGTGGCAGCTAATATCTGCTGGCCTCCATGAAGTCCTTGTCACTAATGGATTTTGTATATTTTTTTCCTTCCTGCTAAATGCAGACCTTAGAGAAACAGACCCTCCCTGTCTTTCCATTAAGAGAAAATTTAGTCTCATCTAGTCTCTGGCTGGTTAGGGCCCAACTATAGGTGGGCAGAGCAGACCTCAGCAAAATGAGCTGAGCAGAGAGAGGCTCTGGTTGTCTGGGTCAGGCTGTTTTAGCAGCGCGGGCAGACTCCGGTGCTAGCAGAGGGTGTGGTCATTAGGTGTAAACTTCACCTTGGAGACCTGGCCTGTCTGGGATGTGCGAGTGAGGTCTTCCTCACCAGCTGCCTCTTCCTCTTTTCCTGTGCCCCCAGGGGTCTCTGAACCCCTTTGGTCCCCGTTCCTCTCTGGATGCTGCTGCTTGCTCATGCAGCTGCCAGACATGATCCTTCCACTCCACATCCAGGGCCGCTGACTTCAAGTTTATGAGCAGTGACAGTCTGGTGCCCTTTAAACAAT